TGTAAGCTTCATCCACATCCTTCTTGATGAGGACAAATTCATTCTCCATCTTTGTACGCTTATTGATCTCATCCTCATACTTGTTCGTGAAGTCCTCCAGCGGCCCCTGCATGTTGCCATGCTCCGCCTCCAGCTTCATCTTCTCCTGGCCCAGCCTCCAGCTGCCACCTAAAGTTGTTGATGTAACTCTCGAACATGTTGTCCATGTTGCTCCCAGCCTTCTTCTGCTGCCGCAGGAGGCTCCACTTGGTCTCCAGTATCTTTTTCTCCCTACCTTGTCTATGAAGGACGCAAACTTGTTGAGGGTCTTGACCTGGTCCTTCTCCTGGGTGCCGACTCCTGGATGTTGGAGTCCCTCTCCAGGTAAGGGGGCTCAGCAGGCTCTGCTTGACCATGACAGTGGTGATGCCTTCCATGCCACTGGCGCCACTATGGCCTCTGCCCAGGCCGCCCTGGAAGCCGCTGCTGCCCACTTGGGAGAGGCTCCAGGAGCTGATGCGGGCACTGGGCCCACAAGGTGGACACCTTGTAGGACCTCTGGGTCATCCTGATGGACACGGTGGAGGCAGGAGTGGAGGCAGGTGGGCTGAACCAGGCAGAGATTCCAGAAGGAGAGGAGAAGCTGCTTCTTGGTATTTACTTATTTATATTTTAAATTCAGGGGTACATGTGCAGGTTTGTTATATAGGTAAACCTGTGCCGCGGGGGTGTGTTGCATACATTGTTTCATCACTCAGGTATTAAGCCTAGACTCTCATTATTTTTCCTGATCCTCTCCCTCCTCCCAGCCTTCACCCTCAGATCCCAGTGTCTGTTGTTCCCTCTATATGTCCATGCGTTCTCATCATTTAGCTTCCACTTATAAGTGAGAACATGTGTTATTTGGTTTTCTGGTCCTGTGTTAGTTTGCAAAGGATAATAGCCTCCAGCCCCATCCAGGTTCCTGCAAAGGGCATGACCTTGTTCCTTGTTATGGCTGCATGTATTCCATGGTGTATCTGTACCACATTTTCCTTATGCAGCCTACTATTGGTGGGCATTTAGGTTAATTCCATGTCTTTACCATTGTGAATAGTGCTGGAGTGAACATATGTGTGCATGTGTCTTTATGATAGAATGATTTATATTTCTTTGGATATATACCCTGTAATGGGATGGCTGGATCAAATGGTAGTTCTGTTTTAAGCTCTTTGAGGAATCACCACATTGCTTTCTACAGTGGTTGAACTAATTTACACTCCCACCAACAGTGTATAAGCATTCTTTTTCTCTGCAACCTTGACAGCATCTGTTTTATTTTTTGACTTTTTAATAAGAGTCATTCTGACTGGGGTGACATGAAATCTCATTGTGATTTTGATTTGTATTTCTCTAATGATCAGTGATGTTGAGTTTTTTTTCATGTGCTTACTGGGCGCATATATGTCTTCTTCTGAAAACTGTTCATGTCCTTTGCCCACTTTCTAATTTTTTTTTTTTTTTTACATTTGTTTAAGTTCCTTGTAGATGCTGGATATCAGACCTTTGTTAGATGCATAGTTTCCAAAAATTTTCTTTCATTCTATAAACTGTCTACTTATGCTCTTGATAGTTTCTTTTGCTGTGCAGAAGCTCTTTAGTTTAATTATATCCATTTGTCAATTTTTGCTTTTGTTGCAATTGCGTTTGGCATCTTTGTCACAAAATCTTTGCTTGTTCCCATGTCCAGAATGGTATTACCTAGGTTGTCCTTCAGGGTTTTTATAGTTTGGGGTTATACATTTAAGTCTTTAATCCATTGTATGTGGTGTAAGGAAGGGGTCCAGTTTTTATTGTCTCTACTAAAAATACAAAAATTAGCCAGGTGTGATGGCAGGTGTCTACAATCCCAGCTACTCAGGAGGCTAAGGCAGGAGAATTGCTTGTACCCAGAAGGCGGAGTTTGCAGTGAGCTGAGATCATGCCTCTGTACTCCATCCTGGACGACAGAGAGATACTCCTTCTCAAAACAAACAAACAAACAAACAAGCAAACAAACAAAAACTACTCGTTTAACAGCAGAATATCTGACTTGACTTGTTTACATGTTTGTTGCCCTCTAGCCAAGTGAAAATCTCTGTGGGGATTGGTATTATTTGACTTGTTTTTTTATATTCTAGCACAGTGGTTGGCGTACAGTAGGAGTTTAACAAATTGTTGGATGATTGCCTAAACCACTAGAGTGAGCAGAGGAAGAAAACTTATAACAATAGCACATGCTTATTCAGTGCTTCATTCATTCATTCATTCATTCATTCATTCATTCATTCATTCAACAACAGTTATTGAACTCCTGTAATATGCCAGTCATTGTTCTAGGCACTTGCAGTGAACAAAATAGACAAAATCATGTACCCTTGAAGAAATTACTTTCTCATGAGGAAGACAGTTAATAAACAATATTAATAGTAACTAAATGCATTGTATAGCATGTTAGAAGGTAATAAGTCCTGTATAGAAAAAAGAAAGATCAGGGTGCAGGCTGCAGTACTGAAAAAGTGAGATTTGAACAAAGGAGGGAATTGAAGGGTTTAGCCAAGCAGTTATTTTGGAAACAGTCCTGTAGGCAGAGAAAAATAAATGAAGAACCCTAAGATGGAAATGCACTTACAATGGTCCAGCGAACAGCAAGGAGGCCGGTGTGGCTAGAGCAGAGGGAGCAAAGTCGGGGTTTGTATGC